CATTAAGCTTTCGCATCATTTAAATTATGTGGAAATAAAAAGGGAAGGTGACACTGGAGCATTTTCTTCAGTCCATCTGTTCTGAAGGATTGTTACTTGAGACAACAGTTTCTATGCTTTATGAAAACACAATTACCTTTGCTCTCTACTTAACTGCTGGCAAATTTAGCTTCTGCCCTTGCCTGATTAACCAGAGACTACATTCAGTACTCTGAATTACTTTTAGTAAATAATTTAGTAAGCTTTCTTTTACAAGATTAGATCATTTAAGAGCTCTTTACAGATTTAGTTCCTTTTACTTCATTAAGTTTACCCTGCCCCCCAAATAAATAAACCCTGAGTTTTGTAGGAAAAGATAAAGACTTCTACCTTCCAAGAAACCTCTTGGATTACAGAATTATACATATATTTTGAGAAAATAACCTTTATTTTGTTCTTTATTATCTCGAATTACGCTTTTGTAACTTGCAAATTAAGTAGACCACAGACTGGCTCTCACTGGTGAGGGGAAAACAGGACTCCCCCTCCATGGTGAGACTAAATAACTTAGTAATATTTCTCCTTGAAACCATGTATGCATATGCGTTTGACGCTATTTTCATCAAGGAAATTCCTCCCAAACTGCCAGTATTCCCTCTTTCAATTTTGATCATTTCAATTGGGGAGAGTTTAGGTGGAGAGAGCCGGGCCAAGAGAAGAGGAGGGGAGGGGGAACAAGGGGAGGAGGGTATAGATAGGATGGGGAAGAGAGGAGGGGCGAGAGGAGGACATTAGAGCAAAGAAGAAAGAAACCGAAGAAAAGAAGATTCACAGAAGACTGCGGCATACTTAAGCTCTCAGGAGAAAGAGAGGCCTGGAGACCAGGGATGGAAATGGAGGCGGTAAATGCCACTCTCGGAAACAGTCCATTAGAAAGCAGTGAGGCTTTCCCTCCTCTTCTGCAACTGCTGGGAGGGTTCTCTACCCTGACTGAAACAGCACTGTCACAGTCTCCCCCAGGACATCTGCTTCTTTCTAACAGAAGATCTTTTCAGAGCATCGGATGCAGGGCAGCGGGCCAGGGCAGGAAGCAGGTAAGGAAGTGCAAGCGGCTGGGCAGGTAACTACAAAGCATGTCCGGAGCCTCCGGAGCCTCCGGAGCCTCCGGAGCCACAGTATGGGATTCCTGGTTTGGCAAAGATAAACACTGAAGAATGCGGAGACTGCTGGGCCCAACCAGCCAGGTTCAGGCAATGATGCTTTCTCCTGGGGTTGACCCAGAGTTCTGAATTCCTTCTTCTGGATCCCTCCTCAGCCTTGATTCAAACAAGTAGTCCGAGAAGTGCATCCAGCACACCTTTAGGTACATGGTAAACCAGAAGCAGTTGCCTGCTGATCTTTTTCACTCTAACAAGAGAGAAATCCGGGACATCCTTTTTAATGAGAAAAAGCTGGCAACCTTTCCTCCTTAGGAACAAGCAAGCACAACTACTGGTAAGGCTTTGCCCATGCCCGTACACTGCGGTCTAGTTCTCTCAGTAAAAAACAGACATTCCTGGCTCTCCCCAGAGTTCCCGGGCTGCTTATAAATTCGACTCCTACTTCAAAGGCCTGTTCTAAGCTACCTCTTCCAAGAAGGTTTCCTCAAGTTTCTAATCAGGGCCCCGCACTTCTACAGCAGGTATAAGACATTCACACAAAGTCCTCATAGTCTACTCTCAACGAAAACTAGTTATGGGCAGTCTTCCTCGCCACACTTGATTCCTAGACTCCTGCTGGGAGAGGGGCTGTATTTTGATTCTTTTGAACCCTTTGAGATCTTGGAGTAACGGGCATTCAACTGCCATTTTTTTTGAGGGGCCGAATTCGGAGTTATCACAGAAGACAAATCTTTTGGATTCGAGTACTTGTAGCAGCCCTCATTAGTAAGTTCTTTTTGCTATCACTTTTTAAATAAGCTACTGCACCGAACAGTGCCCAGAAAGTGTTTAAGCAAACTGGCTTTCTACCGAAAAATGTAAGGGATCCAAATGGAGTAAGACAACATTTGCTGTTCTTACCATCCTTCCCATAGGCACACATCCCCAATCACAAGACTTGCAAAGATGAAGACTTTGAAAAATTAGCTTCTCCTCTACTGCTCTAACTACACTCAGCTGACAGACAGCAAGTGAGCATCACCACATATCAAGAAGTCTCAGAAAGAACAGATTTGAGTTGAGTCCTACTACCCTCTCATTAGGTTGGGTAACATGTTTTTCAACCTTCTGAATCTGTACCACCATCTTGAGAGACATAAAATATCACACAGGATGCCTGGGTGGCTCAGTTGGTTAAGTGTCTGACTCTTGGTTCCTGCTCAGGTCATGATCTCAGCGTTGTGAGATCAAGCCCCACTGAGGGCCCCATGCTCGGCAGAGGAGTCTGCTTGAGATTCTCACTCCCTCTCCTTCTGCCCACCCCCCACTCTCTCTCTAAAATAAATAAATAAATCTTAAAAATAAAAATCACACCCTTCTATGATATTTGGTTTGTTAGTAACCCAACATAAAATTATAAGCCTCTGTTCTTTTCCACATGAAACTATAGATTCTGATACACAGCCCATCAAATTCCTCAAACCAGAACCTCAACTGTATCTCCCTTCATTCAGTTCCACTGCTTTATGGTTTTAAATAATTCTAGGGCACTGAGGAAATAGCTATCTAAAATCTCAATCAACAAATCTTAACGTCTGGGGCGCCTGGGTGGCTCAGTCGGTTGAGCGTCTGCCTCCGGCTCAGGTCATGACCCCAGAGTCCCTGGATCGAGCCCGGCATCGGGCTCCCTGCTCAGCAGAGAGCCTGCTTCTCCCTCTGCCCCTCACCCCACTCGTGCTCTCTCTCTCTCTCTCTCTCTCTCTCTGAAATAAATAAAATCTTAAAAAATATATCTTAAAGTCCATCCCGCAGTTAAGAGAAAGATGTAAAAGCACTCTGGAGGAATCTGTAAGAAGAAAACAAAATCAAAAGCAAGGCTCAGAAATAGCCAGCAGATGACATGGCCTTCTATGGTCCCAAACAAAATATCCCATAATTTCTCCCCATTGGAAACCTCTTCCTAAGAACTGGGGTTACTGATTAAACTAGAACTGAATAAAGGGCAAACCTACAAATTTAGGAGAAAGAGACCTACAAAGGTTAAACACCAAGAAAATAAAGTCTTTCTCCTCTCCCATAAAATACGCTATCCCTGCCCTCCTTACCCTTACAAATATAACTGAAATTTTAAAAAACAAAGTTTTGCTCAAATAAAGGACACAAACTGCTTAGAGGTCTCAAGATACAAAGAACCATTTGGACAGATCCATGTTAAGGACTTTCAATCTGCTCTCTCTGCACAATGGAAGTCCAAACTCCATCCCGGAAGGAAAAACCTGTTAACTATATGAACACTTCCATTTGTCTTAATTTCGTCCTTTATCTTGCCATTGTTTTTCACAGTTCATCAGTGTGATGGAGCAAATGGTACTCAGCAGCAGCCAGAGGACATCATCCTACTGCAGGAGGCTGACAAGAACATCAGCAGCTGAAAGGAGGGGCGGCAGAGGTGGGCAGTCAAAGAAGCCTGGGATGGCCTAAGGCCAAGGCCACAGGGCAAACATGACAAGCAGAGACAACCTCATTACCTGTTGTCCAAATCCCTCCTTCAGAGTAGATCAGAGTAATCCTTTTCTCTACCACTGGTCAAAGGACACACGTTTTTCAAAGACACCTTATACTTGGCTTAACCCCAAACCCCACTGTGTGAAGGCCCTCTGGGTGCCTGCCCATTACATCATATCAGGTCAGGCTGGCCCTGAAGCTCTTAGCAGGAGGGAGGGGTACGGGATTTCAGAACACCAAGGAAACCCATTTTTTCCTTAATATGGGCATAAAATATATGGAGGCGGGAAGGTGGGAGGCAGGAATTTGTGAGATAGGAAGCAAGCCGACTGAAGCATTCAACAGCCCAAGTATTCAGCCAGTTTAAATCACGGTTTTGATGCTTTCTTGCACCTGAGCTGGGGAAGAAAAGTTATGCTTGCCCACTTCCCTTCCTCCCAGCAACTCTCTAGATGTGGCTGCAAAGGGACACACCCCCTGCCAACCTACAAGCCTCCATCTATTTAGGCGTGATCTTCCCCATCCCTCGGCGTCCACCCTTAACCCAAAGCTCTGGGAACGCCCAGGCAGCCCAGCTCCTTCCTCATCCCCTCCTGATGCGCCTCCCCAGCCCCAATCCCCTCAAAGAGATCACAGCCACGTCCCTGGCACCTCCAGCCCCTGGCTGACTATGACATTTGAACCCTAGCCCTCAACGCCCTTTCGCCTTCTCCCCGCCGCGACTCCCCAGCCCCTCGTCAAACCCGCCGCAGTCGGCCCCAGGCCCCTGGCAGGGGAGGCCCCGCACGGCCCTGTTCGCGGCGCCCCCATCCTCTCGGGCCGGGTCCATGCGTCCGCCCCACCCGGACGGAGCTGCAGCTCCTTCGGGCCTAGTCAAGGACACCGCCTCCGCCCGGCCTTCACCCAGCCCGGCGCCGCAGCAGCCCAGCTCTCCCCCTCGTGGGGCACTCACCCAAATGTGACCGGGCGGTGGCCGTGGAAAGGGAGTGAGCCACGAAAAGCCAATACGCGGCGCCTCCCCTCCGCCACCAGCTTTATAGCTGCCGACCCACCCGACTCCGGCACGGCCGGGAGTCGGTGGGAGGCTGGACAGGGGTTCCAGCAGCCAATCGCGGCCCGCAGAGTAGTCCGGCAGTGCCCGCCCCCTGGTCCGGCTTCTACCAATCCGAAGAAAACTAGAGGCGGGCTCTTGCTAGGGTTTTCCCTCGTGGCTGGAAGGGCGGGGGAAGGGGCGGGGACAAAGTTGGAGGGCCGAGGAAGTGGGGTGAGAGAGTGACGTGGGGTGGCCCGAGAGCCGGCCTGCCAATTACAGAGCGGCGAGAGACAGCGAGAGCCAACGGGAACGGAGTGAGAGGTTCTCCGACCAATTGGAGTTTAGTGAGAGGAGACGGGAGCCAATGAGGTCTCCGCGTCCCACCACTGGGGAGAGATGGTCAAGTGTGGGAGGCAAGTTGGTCCCCACTTGCGAGTCTGTCAGGTTGCCTAGCAACAGAGCTGGGCTTCACCTGTGAGATTTCTGCAATACTTTATTTGAATTCAATCTTAACGTCTTCTAATTCCCAGAGCAGCCAAACGCGCCTGCATGACAAGTTTGAACAGGATGTCACTCAGAATTTGTAAATGTGTAAGTATTCTAAACACCCGATTTGTAAATACCTAATACCTCTATTCAAAACTACCTTGACTTTTTAAGAGACTGCTATTGGGACAATTCTTCCTAAATAAACTGGAAACAAGATAGTTTGGGGTTGGACACACCAGTGAGGACAGTAAGGGGCCTTGCCTGAGCAGGGAAATTGATCCTGATTCTAGGAGTTTTACTGGCTCATGCACTCTGAAGGAAGGGGCTCCATCTGACCCCAGTGTATCTTCTGAGCTAGATATGTGGTAGGTGCCAAATTGTTGAAAGAAGGAAGGGGCCCCATAATTGTTGGTACAGCAAATCCATAGGATATAAACTGCCTAGCTCCCCCAGAAAATAGAGAGGAGCAAGTTGGAGGAAATCACTGGAACACTGTGAGAATCCAAAGGAGGACAATTATGGCTTTAAATTAGACTCTACCTCATCTCCTCAGATTGAGAAACCGTAAAAATTAGCTTTGATGGGGACCATGAGAGATTCAGAGTTGTTTATATCTCTCTCCCTCTGTTTTATTGAGACCCAGGAATGCTGTTGATAAGAGGCCATTGATGGTTCTGTGCATCACACAACTACCGTTATAGGAAATTTATTATCCACTATAGATACTAACCTAGTAAGGACATTCTCAGCAGCAAAGTGGCAAAATATATTGGCAGTGGAAACGCTGTGAAGTGTGGCATAAGTTACTCGTGGGAACGGACCACTCAATGGTTATCACTCCGTAGTATTATTGCCCATTTCAGACTCTCATAAAGTAACTGGGTGATAAAGAGAGAGGAAAATTGCCTGATTGTGATCATCAGCAATTGTGAGGGGGGAATTAAACATTCTTGGCATATTAGAATGTACTGAAAGGCATTGAGGACAAACACAAGAAAGTAGATACAGCTTTGTCCTTAGGAAGGGATAGCAAATAGTACCAACTCCAGGAGTTCATAGTAGGAAATGATTAGCCAGATAGCTGTGAGGATGATCATCTTGAACAAACAAAAAAGTCCCACAAGGTACAGATTGTCTTTTTGATCAAATTAATCTTCAATTAAGCAAAGTGAGCATGGTACTGGGAAGCTAAGCAATGAACAATGAAATGGGTTAATAATTAGATGTAGAGCATCTCAATTGAATTTTTAAGAACAAGCCTCTGAGATTCTGTGGAATATAATAGCAGATAATACCAGGCTACAGAAATATTAGCTATGGCCCATGCGAATGAGGACAAAATATACATATATTTATTTTCGAAGGGGCTGCAACTTTTTTGAGCCACAATTTTACACAAGCACAGTGGAGTCAATGTCATACTAGAATGTGCATATTAAGATCTTTGTTTTGGGCGCCTGGGTGGCTCAGTTGGTTAAGCGACTGCCTTCGGCTCAGGTCATGGTCCCAGGGTCCTGGGATCGAGTCCCGCATCGGGCTCCCGGCTCAGCGGGGAGCCGGCTTCTCCCTCTGACCCTCTCCCCTCTCATGCTGTTTCTCTCTCTCTCTCAAATAAATAAATACATAAAATCTTTAAAAAAAAAAAAAAAGATCTTTGTTTTATTATAGTTTCTAAATTTAATGCTAAGTCATGTTGGTCATGCTCTATAGATGCTTTACATCAAAGGCAAAATATAGTTTATTGTTCTGCCCTACTTCGAAAGGAACAAGTTTATTAAGAGGCAGGAAGATGTAATGATAACATTTTGTATTATAAATTCATTCACTGAACATTTACTTTTTCCTTACTCTGTGGCAGGGATTGTGCTAGACCCCTGCTGTCCAATGACAAGCATTAGTTACCTGTGGCTCTCGAGTACTTGAAAGGTGGCTAGTGCAAAGTGAGATGAGATCTAAGTGTAAAACACACACCACATTTTGAAGACTTAGTACAGGGGCGCCTGGGTGACTCAGTCGCTAAGCGTCTGCCTTCGGCTTCGGTCATGATCCCAGGGTCCTGGGATCAAGCCCCGCATCGGGCTCCCTGCTCTGCAGGAAGCCTGCTTCTCCCTCTCCCACTCCCCCTGCTTGTGTTCCCTCTCTAGCTGTGTCTCTTTCTAATAAATAAATAAAATCTTTAAAAAAAAATACTTAGTACAAAAACAGGAAATATCACCTTCATTATTTTTATATTGATATATGTTATAATGATAATATCTTGACTATATGGGGTTAAATAAAATATAATACTAAAATTAATTTCATCTGTTTTAGTTTTAGTGTAGCTGCTAAGAAATGTAAAATTTTATATGGACTCCCATTTGTGGCTCCCATTTGTGCTAGACAGTGAGAAGACACAATGAAAGACTCTTTCCTCAAAGAGTTCATAGTCTAAAAAATGGAGAAGAGAAAAGTAAATATAGCAAAAGGCTGGGTTTCCAGCCTTTTTCTCACTAGGTAAAGAGTAGGAGAGGGTGGAGTAGGAGGTAAAAGGAGTGTTAATAGAACAGCATCTGATATTTTTTCCTTACCGCTTGGAGGGAAAGGAGTGAGTTCAATGGAATATTCTTCCCACAGTGTGATCCTGAGGTTAATCTCCTTCTCACTTGTCAACATTTGTAATAAGAGTTTCCTGAGTATCAGCTGTTTTTCAGGGTTGGTAATATGTGTCTTGTATACACTATCCCTCCAGTTTACCACTGGGGAAACTGAGGTGCAGAGAGGTTAGGTGACTTGTTTCAAGTTACTCAGTTACAAAGTAGAAAAGATGAGTTCATATCCAGGTCTTGTGATGTCAAAACCCATGTTCCTTCTATGTTCTATATACAAAAACACAGTTGTGTTCAAAGAAGGTAGACTGGGGTGGGTGGTAGATGTTGAGTAAAGGAAGGTAAGTTACTTCTCCCGAGAGGCCTCGGAGAACAGCACTTACTAGTCTGGGGACTCTTACCATACAACAGTTTGGTGCCTGGCTCATGGGCTCCGCAGACTTTTTTCATCAGCTTGCTAAGAACAAGTCCATCTCTGAGGGTTGCACTACACTCACCAAGTTTATGATGCATAAAATCAGAATGCCCCTTTACTATTTATCGTACAAAAGGGACCACAACCCTTGAAGTCTACATGACTCACCCTCTAGGTTAACCAACGTGGGAAGTCATGTCATCCTCAGAACATTGATTGGTAAACATGGAATTGGGAAGAAAATTAGAAACACAGTTCTTTCAAGCTCTTCTTCTCATCAGGTTAAGATAACATTATGTATCCATTTTTCAATAGGATGGTCTTCCCAACAGGAGTGAAGATATGCCAAGGCCATGAAACTACCAATGAACTTTACCCATGCCACCGTAAGACTGGCTTTGCCATTGACTCAAGAATATTTAAAATCCACTCCTAATCTCTTTTTTTCTGTGCCCCATCCTTAATTGGACACCATTTGCATTTGTATCTATCTCCTTTTTTATTAGTCCATGGCTGACCATCTCTACTTCCCCTGTCTGTTCTCTAAACAAGTCAGTACAATCAATCAGGTTAAAGTCTAGTCCTAACTGCCTGAGCAACATTTGATTTCTTTAAAGTGACTTTTTTTTTATCTCTGCTTCAGCGTCAACTTTTTAAAGCTTATTCTTCAGCAGATGACCCTGCTTCCAGGTCCTTAGAGGACAACTCACAGAAGACTCCACGTCCTGAAAGAATGCTCTGCCTTCAGTCTCCCTCCCAGCAGTGTATGGAAGGAATGTGTTAAGACAGTGCCCAGCCCACAAATAGCCTGAATAATGCAATGTGGTTACAAGTGAGTAACCCTAGATTTGGAGCAAAACAGGCAGGCATGAACACTGAGGCCCAAAGCTGAGAAGTGAAGAGACACTAAATACTTCACACTGTAAAGAGCCGTACTGAAGCCAGTTTCATTCCTACAAAGGGCTTTTGAACTGGTGAAAGAAAAACCTTTCTACCATCAACCACCACCTGCCCTCACCATCATGGGGTGGTGAGGGTAGGAAGAGAGGGAGGTCAAGAGACATCAGTCCGGGGAGGAGCTTGGGATTCCAGGGAGAGGACAATATCTTCTTGCCCTCTGGAGGAAGGGTGGTTCTCTCTCCATTACTACCAGGTTAAATCAAAGTTTGGGGTTGTTCACAGGAAGAGGAGACTGGCATTCCCCTCCCCCGCTGCCTGATTGCTGAGCTGTAGAGCCTCAGCCTGTTCCACTGCTGCCTTAGGAACACTTCGGGGCAAGGAGGAACAAGTCTCGGACGAATTTTACATATATCCCGGGGGGAGGAGCACATTAAATATAAAGATTAGGGTCTGCTATTGGTCCGTAGATTTTTGAAAGAAAACATGTTGGACAGGTCGCACGAGGTCGCATGAGGAAGTGCCTGGGAAGAAGACCAACCCTATCCTGACACTACAATAAGGGAGTATGAAAGAGAGCCTCGGAGGTTCCCACAGCTCCATGTAAAGGCGTTCGTAGTACACAAGGAGCAAGAGCTCTGTGGCTGCTGGGTACCCATCTCCCCATGGTTTCATTCCACTAACCCCGTGGCTTTGGTTGGCTTTTATCTCAGGCTTATTTAGTCCCATCACAAGATGGTTGCAACAGGTCTAAGCATGTCCTCGCCTAACAATATCCAAAGGCTGGAAGAAGGAAAAAGGGCATCCTTCCCTAAATCCCTTTGGAAGAGCAAAGACAACTTTTCCAGAAGCCTCCTTAGACTTCCTCTCATATTTCATTGGGCAGAATTGCATCACATGCCTGTGCCTAAGTCAATCATGATGGGAGAATGCCATCATCAGTATTAGCTTCAGCCTTCCGAAAAAGAATTTCTCCATTCTGGGGCGCCTGGATGGCTCAGTTGGTTGAGTGTCCAACTCTTGATTTCAGCTCAGGTCATGATCTCAGTGTCATGAGATTGAGCCCCGCATCAGGTGTGGAGCCTGCTTGCGATAATCTCTCTCTCCCTCTTTCTCTGCCCCTCCCCCCACTGTTCACATTCTCTCTCTCTCTCTCTCAAACAATTTTAAAAATAAAAAAGAATTTCTGGATTCTATTTACAAGGAATGTGGATCAAAGGACTAAAAGATAGGCAGGAACTGTGTCTGCCATGTGGAGGAGTCCCCAGCTGGGAGCTATACCACGGTCACCTTCCTATGTGTGGATATGGGTGTCTGGGGGCTGCATCGAGGCTGAGTAATCACAGAACTCTTCCTACCAGATGTGGGATTTTATGGCAAGACACTCCCTTTAAGCCCTAATTGGTTGCTGGTTGATTTAATTTGGAGATGCCATTTACTGGTGTATTAGTTAATACTCTTTTGGTTGCAAAGAACAGAAACCAACATAAACTAGCTTAATCAATTTGTTCGCATAATGAAAAATCAGGAGGTTGGTTTTATTTCAAGGATTATTGGATTCAAGAGGTCAGTTGATGTCTTTTACTATTACAGTGCTCTCCAACGTTGAAGAGTGATTTCCTTGGTGTTGGCATTTTTCTCAGAAAGGCACCCTTTCTTGCTCAAGATTCCCATCCCACACAAGGTTAACAGGTGGAAACAAGACAAGCAAAGTCCTACTTCCCATAGAGCTTTCTTTCTAGTGGGGTGGTCTAAAGAAGAACACACTCCTATGTGTTTCCTCTACTCTCAGTCCTCGAACACTACTTCACTTGTGACACCAGACATGTGGGTTTCCCACACATTAAGTAATTCTTTGACATCAGCTAGCTGTCCTGCAATTTAACTCAATTCTGTCACTGTCTACCTGGAAATAGCATCCGATCTTACAGTTTCAAGGCTCAGTCTCACGAGACTACCCCCCTCTCAAACCACTTCAGATCCCAATCACAAGTCCTGGTTATTACCTGTGCTTCTGACCCACCACCTATACATCAGAGATTCCCACAGCACCTTCCTTAGGTTTCATTAATTCGTTAGAGCAACTCACAGAACTCAGGAAACCAGTTTACTTAGTAGATCATTGGCTTGTTACAAAGGATTTTAAGGATACAAACCAATAGCCAAATGAAGAGATACATAGGGCAAGATCCAGAAGTGTCTCAAGTACAAGAGCTTCTGTCCCCACGGAGTTTGGAGTGTGTCATCCTCCCAGCATTGGGTGGGTCACTAACCCAGAAGCTCTCCAAACTCTGTCCTTTTGGGGTTTTATGGAGGCTTCATTTCTTAGACATGGTTGATCAAATTCAATCTCCAGCCCCTCTCCCCTCTCTGGGGGTCGGGGAGGGGAGTACCGGCGCGGCGGGGAGGAATGAAAGTTACAATCCGGGGCGCCTGGGTGGCCCAGTCAGTTAAGCGGCTGTCTTCGGCTCAGGTCATGATCCCAGGGTCCTGGGATCGAGCCCCACATCAGGCTCCCTGCTCTGCGGGAAGCCTGCTTCTCCCTCTGCCACTCCCCCTGCTTGTGTTCCCTCTCTCGCTGTGTCTCTCTCTGTCAAATAAATAAAATCTTTAAAAAAAAAAAAAAAGAAAGTTCCAATCCTCTAAACACAATGTTGGTTCCCCTGACAACCAGCCAGCATCCTTAGGTGCTTTCCAAAATTTACCTCATCAACATAAACTCAGGTGTGGTTGAAAGGTTTGTTATGAATAACGACACCTTTATCACTCATCACTTAGGATATTCCAAGGGTTTTAGGAGCTCTGTGCCAGAAATGGGACACAGACCAAAAATACATTTCTAATTATAAATCACAATATTAAAGTTGGGAAGGAGCCAGAGAAATATGTAAGCAAATATATAAATAAATTAATTAATAAGCTGAAATATTTCCAGATAGAATAGTATTAAACAAATAAAGCAGGAGAATATTATTGGCTGGGAGGAGGATGGTGATACATGAAGTGATGAGGAACACAGTCATTTTTTTGTGACAGTGGAGCTGAGAAATGATCAGAAGGCGCCAGCCATATGAAACGCTGGGTGTTACAAGAACAGCAAGTACAAAGTTTCTGAGACGAACATAAACTTCTTGTGTTTGAAGAATAAACAAAAGACAGGGTGACTGAGCTGAGTTTAAAGAACTAATAGGTGTTAGCCAGACTTGGAGATGGAGAGGGGGGATAATCATAATTTATTTTAGGCAAAGAGAATAGTAGCAAGTAGGGGAACCATAACTTTAACCAGAAATACACTCAACGTCAACCAAGTTTTCGATGCTTATTATGATACACTCGGGATGCCAGTTTCGACGATGGTTGCCTGGAAAAGTGCAGGCAAATAAAATACGTAATCAAGAATATGGAATGCCAATTCACAAACATGTTTAAAGATATATTTTTGAAAATATCTTTGATGCATGCAGGCATGTCCTGTCCAGGATTGATGTGTTTATGTGGGGAAAGTACAAAGAGCTCTAACTTTCAGGGCTTCCAACTGAGCAAAGGAAGTGCTACTATGCAAAAGTTGTTTTAAAATAGTAACTTTGGGGCACCTGGGTGGCTCAGTCAGTTAAGCGTCCAATTCTTGGTTTCCGCTCAGGTCACGATCTCATGGATCATGAGATCAAGCCCTGAGTCAGGCTGTGCTCCTGGTTCAGCGGGGAGTCTGCATGAAAGATCTCTCTCTCCCTCTGCCCTTTTCCCCACTTGCTTGTGTGGGCACATGAGCCCTCTCTCTCTCCAATAAATAACTCTTAAAAAAATAAAATAGTAACTGTTTATATTCCAGAATACCCTTACTCTCAAAATGAGAGTCCTAAATTGTAGCAAATGTTAAAATAAAGAATAATTAAGGATCAATATGCCCAGAATGGTTATCAACATTGTTACTGAAAGCTGAATATTTAAGAAAAAGTCAGGAAGAAATAAAAGGAAAGTTTGGTTGCCATTTTTAAGTATTGGCTTGAGGGGTGCCTGGGTGGCTCAGTCATTAAGCGTCTGCCTTCGGCTCAGGTCATGATCCCAGGGTCCTGGGATCCAGCCCTACATCGAGCCCTGCATCGAGCCCTGCATCGGGCTCCCTACTCAGTGGGAAGCCTGCTTCTCCCTCTCCCACTCCCCCTGCTTGTGATCCCTCTCTCACTGTGTCTCTCTGTCAAATAAATAAATAAAATCTTTAAATATTGGCTTGAGGCTCAGTTTCTGAACACAGAAATGGATGTTAAATTTGTACCCACATACTGAATGCTTCTAGTTTAAAAAGTAGAAAAAATATGATATAATGAGCATGAGAACTTCAGTATTTCTTGTTTTAGCTATTTTCTTACTTGATTCTCCTACTTGGGACCAAGATTTATTGTTGTATTAACTTTTTGTTTTGTGGACTTTAATTGTTTTATATATATAAAGATTTATTTTAGAGAGAGTGTGTGCATGACCCTGAGATCATGACCTGAGCAGAAATCAAGAATCAGACGCTTAACCAACTGAGCCACCCACGCGCCCCTGGGCTTTAATTCTTGATAAGTTGAATTTCGTGTTTGATCTCTCCAGTGATAATAAAAGCACTATAGAATATGAAACTGTGGGGTTAGGTATGACCTGTTTTAATACATGAAAATATTTGGTTATTTGCCCTACTGCCAAAAATTGTTGTAGTACACATTTGTCGCTTTTTCTCTTCCCTTCTTCGCATGTGGACCTCTTTCCCATATTTAAGGAACTCCCCGTGAATTCTTTTCCTCCTACAATCAGATGAAAACAGCAGACATTTACTTTCCCAGATCACCTAACGAGGAGAAAGCATTTAGCCTCTCAGATGCATCCACCTGGGTCTTTGAATCCGAGGTTAGTGTTGCAAAGAAGCAAGGCAAGGAGAGAATTCTGACAGTGGCCGCACCGCCCATTTTCTGGGGGCCAAAGGCCAGAAGGGTGCTCAACAGCAGTGATGCAGACCATGGCCCTTGCACTCGTGCAGCGGGCGCATCAGGCCCCTCCTGATGGGCGAGCCTCCTTTCGTTTCTGTCCATTTTCCAATCCTGCCTTTTCAGCCTTCCCTGAAGGTCTCTAAGACACACCCTATGGTTGTAGTAAATCCCTTTTCTGTTTAAACCCAGCCAGAACTGGTGTCGGATACGACGGCTGACTTTCTATGGTTGTACTTTGCTGAATTAATTGTACTTTGCTGAATTTAGGTTTTAAAAAAAAAAACCTCTGAAGTTATTTCATTCCCTGTGTTGTTATTGGGAGCTTATGAGTGTGGGATTTTAACTGATAGGTGTTTTAATCCAACTGTGTCTGTGTCTTTTTAAAATTGGTCCTTGCGAAACCCAGAAAGATAACACAAAGATGGTGTAGCCCTTGTTGGGGTGGGGGGATGGCACGTGGAGGGTATGACTATATAATTCTCCTGGCCTCTCCGTACCCACTTACTCTCCCCTCCCCTGACAGGAAGGAGTGACTTACCTAACTAGAGGCTTTGGAAGAAGACGCTAGGGATATACTGCCCCCTTCCTGTTGAGAGCTGCCGACTCGCAGAAAGAGGGTGCTCCCGGCGATTCTTCACCAGGTAGGAACGATGCAATGGCAGCCTGGCCCTTCTGAAAAAGGCCTGCCCTGGTCCACCACAGGTTCTGCTAGGATTTTTACCACTCCTTTATTTGCTTGCCCACAAAATTTTGTTCCTTTTGTCTCTTTTTCAAGGCTTTCTATTTTTATGGATGTATGGCTTTTGAGAAAGCCCACATGTGATCATATTAGCCAGTTTTCACTAGGAAGCAAATGTCAATGTTGCTTCATTCATATCTTTACTTGGAAGTCTCCGTCCTGGTTTTGGTGGCCCCTCTAGCTAAAGGAGAAAGCTCACCAACTCTCAGCCTGGGTCCAAGCTGCCCTCAACTTCAGGGAACACATGTCAAAATCTTGGGGGTCCCACCACAGCCGCACCTCAGTTGAGGTAAGATGGTCAAAGCACACCTCTGTCCAAAGGAATTCTCCTCACTAACTGGTCTTTTGAGTACTCCTCTTTCAACTCGTTCTTTCAGTCAGGGTTCAACCAGAGAAACAACCAACAGGGGATACATATTAAGAAATTTATTGCAAGCATTGAGTTACATGACTGTGGAGGCAAATCCATAGGGCAGGCCGTCCAGAAGGGCAGGCTGGAAATCTCTGGCCGCAGCCAAAGCTGTACCCCACAAGTGAAACTTCTTTTTCTAAGGAGAAACCTCAGCTCTGCTCTTAAAGCTTTTCAACTTTAGTTGACTGAATCAGGCCCACACAGATTACCTAGATAATCTCACTTAAAGTCAACTGATTTTGGATTGGGTTTTTTTTCAAAGACTTATTTATTTATTTCAGAGAGAGAACATGAGCAGGAAGGGCAGAGGGAGAGGGAGAGAGAATCTCAAGCAGACTCTGAGCCCGACATGGGACTCTATCTCACGACCCTGAGATCATGGCCTGAGCCAAAACCAAGAGTCAGATGCTTAACCAACTGTGCCACCCGGGTGCCCCTGACTTTGGATTTTAATTACACCTACAAAAGACCTTCTCAGCAACACCTAGATTTCTGTTTGATTGAGTGACTGGGGACTGTAGTAAAATTGACCATGACAGCCTTATTATGGGGTGGGTATTTTTAGAATTATGAAACTAGTGTTTGAGCCTTTCCTTTGAAAATCTGCAACTTATTCTAGCACTCATTTTGGAATTTTGTGTCTATTATACCAATTTAATTTCCTTAAGTACCCTCCTGATGCTCAACATAAGAGAATATTCCAGACAAATGAGCCTCTTATTTGTAGTTTCCTGACCCTCCCAGCCTCGCCCTCATCTCGTTGCATAACTCCCTCCTCATCATATAACTGGCTATGCTTGTGTTGGTCCACTTAAGCCCCATGTCCTCTGGGTTCCCGCGCTGGAAGTAAAGTGTGGCTCTAACCTTGCTCCTCTGTAGTGAAAAACACCAAGCCTGGGAAAGTCCCACATCTTCATTCCCTGTGGCACAAATTGGGCAGCCTTATTCCTTTTTTTTTTTTTTAAAGATTTTATTTTTTTATTTGACAGAGAGAGACACAGCGAGAGAGGGAACACAAGCAGGGGGAGTGGGAGAGGGAGCAGCAGACTCCCAGCTGAGCAGGGAGCCCGATGTGGGACTCGATCCCAGGACCCTGGGATCATGACCTGAGCAGAAGGCAGACGCTTAACGACTGAGCCACCCAGGCGCCCCTGGGCATCCCTTATTCCTTACAGAATTAAATACCAAAGCCACAGTCACTGAAAGCCCTACATCATGCTATTCTAGTCTATTGAAGAATCTTCTTACCAAACCCAATGGTTTGTTTTTCCTCAAATGCAGACTATCCTTTTCCATGTTTCGGACGTGGCTCATGCTCTTCTGTTCCCAGTGTCTCGCCCACTCCCCACCTCTGCCCTCAACTCCACCTACCAAGATCAGCCATCCTTCCAAGTCCACCACAAATGAAACCCCCTCCATGAATCCTTTCTTGATAGCCTCAGTTGGATGTCATGCCTCCCTCCTCACAACCTTATACTACTTATGGCACATACATTATTCTTGCTTCTATTATATTTATTCCACATATGGGTGTTATTTTCTACCCATCCCTAGAGTGGAATCTCCCTGGGAGCAGACACAGTTCTGGCTCATGTTTCTGTTGCCTCCAACATCTAGCACAATGCTTTGCCCAAAGTAGCTACTTAATAGCTATTTTCTGATACGAATGTAGTTGATCTGGGTCATTATTTCTCTAACAAGTTCGTGTAAGGAACTGCACATATCATGTCTGCATTAGGAAACCTGGTTTTGAGCTTAACCCTGTTAACTTTATTTTTTCTGGCCCTCATCTTTAAAATGAGAGGTGTAGGCCAGATGATTTTCAGAGTTCCTGCTATGATGTTCTTAACTTCTAAGATTTTTTTGGTGCCTAGAATGAGAATGCTGGGTTGTTTTCAGAGTTCCTCAAAGAAATAATCTTTGCTCAAAGAAAACAAGATACGCTCTTTAAGATGACAAAGTTTGAGTGGCTGAGATGATGGTGGGTTGGCTGCCCTGACCTGCCCGGTCTTGCCCTGGCCAGGGTGGCGTGCTATCGATGTGCACAAATCAGGGAACAGGAAAACTGGTCAGATGTGCTAGGATGACAGCAGGTGACATAGGAGCAAATGAAGGGCAGGGAGATAAATTGAACACACTATCTCAAAGAGAGGTAAGTGAACTGGGATTTCCAAGCCTTAAGGAAAGAGAAGGAAGCGATATCAATGAGTGAAATCAAAGCAAAAAAATTTTGAAAAGTCTTTGGGGGGAAAAGTGAGAATTTGGCTAAGAAAATCGTACTGTTCTAGTTGTTAAAAATATACTTTTAATTTAGACGAGTTTTAGGTTTACAGAAAAAGGCAAATATTGTACAGAGTTCTCCTGTACCCTGCACCCAGATTCCCCTATTGTTAATGTCCTACATATGGTACATTTGTCACAACTAATAAATCAATATTGATACATTATCATGAACTAATTTAGATTTCCTCAGCTTTTCTTTTTCTCTTCAGCATCCCATCCATGATACCACATTACATTATTATGTTGCCTTAAGCTCTGACAGTTTCTCAGACTTTTCCTGTTTTGTTTTTGCTTTTAAATATTTTTTCTTTCAGTTTAATTGAGATATAATTGACATACAGCACTGTATAAGTTTAAGGTGTACAGCATAATGACTTGACTTACATATACTATGAAATGATGACCACAACAAGTTCAGTTAATACCATCATCTTGTATAGAAAGAAAGAAAGAAAGAAAGAAAGAAAGAGAAAGAAAGAAAAGGGAAAGGAAAAGAAAAGAAAAGAAAAGAAAAAGAATTTTTTTTTCCTTTTGAGGAGAACCTTCAGGATCTAATCTCTCAGCAACTTGCAAACCACACAGCAGGGTAAACTATAGTCACTATGCTGTATACTCCATCCCCAGTACTTCTTCATCTTATAAGTGGAAGTTTGTACCTTTTGACCATCTTCATCCAATTCTCCTCCCCGCAGACTTCCCCTGTTTCTGTTAACCTTGGCAGTTTTGAGAAATGCTGGTCAGCTATCTTATAGAATGCCCCTCAATTGGAGTTTGATGTTTTTGCCATGCTTAGACTGGGGTTGTGGGTTTGGGGAAGAGGACCAGAGGTTAAGGCGCCATTCTCATCATATCACACCTGGCTTACACACTATCAGCCTGACTCACCACTGATAATGTCGACCTTGGTCACCAGCTGAGGTAGTCCACTGCCAAGTTACTCTTCCCCCTCCCCCTTCCCCATACTATACTCTTTGAAAGGAAGTCATTTTGCACAGCCCACTCCTAGGGGTGATACTGCTCTGATTTTATTTTCTCTCATCCTCCAGATTCATCTTGTTTTTCTTATAGCCTCCTTGTCACCCTAGCCCCATTACCTTTTTTCCTCTCCAGCCTTTGATGTAGTGGCATTTCCCCGGTGACAGATGAATTCCTATCAAAAAGCATTCCTTTCTACCTCCATTCCACCAGAAATGGGGTGTATTAGTCAGCTACCACTGTATAATAAAATCACCCCAAAACTCAGTGATTTACGGCAGCAATCATTTATGTGTCCACGTGTCCACAGGCTAACCAGAGGTTTAGGCAGGTGTCAGCAGAGAAGCTCCATTCAAGCTGTGGGTCTGGCCAGCTCAGACCTTTTCTCTGTGTGTTTTCATTCTGGGACCCAGACTGGAGGGAGAAGCTACCCAGAGTGGAGGATTCTTCTCCAATAACAGAGTGCAAGAGGCCAGCCTCACCACGCAAGCATTTTTTAAGCTCCTAATTGTGTCACATCTGCTACCTTGCCAAAGTAAGTCATGGGGTCAAGTCCAAAGTCAAGGGGAAGGGTAATACACTCTGCTTTTGTGTCAGGAACTGCAAAGTCACATGTGGGTACAGGGAAGGACAAAGAATTGGGGCCACTAATTCAGTAGAGCACGGATGATCATAGTAGATGTCAAGTTCAGTGATCTGACACCACTCCCAATAACACAGGAGAACAGGTACCAGTTATTGGCATTGATCTTTAGCTATGGCTTTGGGGAAGCAGGCTCGGTGAAAAGTGGAAGCAGAGGGAAAACAAATACAAGCAAAAACATTACAGGCTCCCTTATGTCAAAGAGATGTTGCTTTATCCTTTGTAACTTTATCCTTTGCTATTGTGCTCACTGTCTCTCTAACTTTTCCCATCTAGGTCTTCTTGGATGTTCTTGATAAAGAAAAGACAAAGGGAGGGTAGACAATGACATTTCCTCAAACTTCTTTCCAGCCCAACGGAACAAATAAAGCGTGTGCCTAAGAGATAGGGACGCGTTATTTCAATGCTCAATGGAGAGATCGTGTGATTCCACCAACCTTATGGTCAGGTTTTACTTTTCTTCCATGTGACCACCGCCCCCACCAGAGCCCAAGGGTATTATACCAACTGTGCTGAGGGACAGGCAATTTGTGTACTTTCTGCCTTATTCCTGCTGCCCTTTGCAGCCTCAGCTACCAATGACCCACATGAAGTTGCTGCTCTGAGGGGCACAGACCTCCTCTGTTCTATTGGTGACGGCCCCGGTGTCACCACTCGGGTCTTGGGAGGACACTGCTCTCCCCTTGGCTATTCTTTCTGAAGCACAAGGCAGACCCCTGCCAACCCTCCACAGCAGAACTGAGGCCAGGTTGTAACTGTCTCACAGGGGCTCAGGGGTTAGCAATTGGAAGGCGAGAGTCGAGCTGGGGAGAATACCTTCACCTCAGAGGTCTTTCTTACTTTAAACAAACCAGAATACAGTTTTCCTTAAAACACAACTAATAGTTACTGGGCACCTCTTACATATCAAGCACTGTGTTTTGTAGTAAATCCTCACAACAATCTTTTTTTTTTTTTTAATGACTTAAGACAACACAAATTGATTACCTTAAAGTTCTGGAGGTCAGAGGTCTGAAATGAGTGTCACTGGGCTAAAATCAAGGTGTGTCCGGGGCTGCGTTTCTTCTGGAGACTCTGGGAGGGGATCCGTTTCCTTGCCTTTTCCAGCTCCCAGAGGCTGCCATGTGTGTGGGCTTCAGCTGTTCTGCACCCGCACCGCCCCCCCCCCCCCCCCCCCCCGCCCCAAGCCCCTCAGCCAGCATGAGAGGGTCGGATTCCGTCACAGCACATCACCATTCTTCTTAGAGACAGACTATTTATTCTTCAGGAGGTCGCATCTCCCTCTCTGGCTGCACCATCTTTTGAGCTAGATTTTCCTATCTCCGTTTACAGATAAACAATCCAACATCCTGTATAAGGACTGCAAGCAAGGTCTGATCAAAACAATCCGATGCTTTCTCCAGCACATAATGCGGCACAAACAAAACAAAATCAAAGATCAACATTAGCTCCTAAAAAAGTAATACTCATTTTAAAATGTAATTCAACTTATGGCAATAAATTGAATACTGACATCGTTTTTAAGTGTTTCATAGTATTTCAGGGATGTTTAGTTTATAGAAGACAGTGTCACATACAGCTTCTAAGTTGCGTGTGTATGTTTTAAATAGCAATTTTTAACTCCATAAAAACTCATGCAAGACTATTACAACACCTATTTTATTGGAATTATTTACATAATGGTTATTGTGAGTATATTAGTTCCAGAAAGTATATTTGCTGTGTCTTCACGGCCTCTGGTTTCTCAGCCCTGAAATATGGGAAGATTGGCCTGATTTGGGGATTTGGTGTGGGGAACGAGAAATGCTGAGTTTCTCCTTTTATCCATAAAATGTAACTTGAGCCCATTTTGGAGTGAGGAGCTATTTCTAACATAAAAAATGAGTGTAGTTGTGTTGAGGACAAACCCAGTTGAAATAAGCCTTATTCAGACATGTCCTGTCAGGGAATCAGAAGGTTGCCTGTGATCCCCAAGAGTCAAATACCTGAAATAGTCTCTTACGTAACCATTACTACTTGCTCCACTGTCTTGGAATGTAAATACAGTTAGATTTCTTTTATTTTCAACTGATTGCAAATTAATCTACCTTTATTCTCCACCACTAGAGTATTTCCTTCTCGAGAACTCTCTCTCTCTTCCACATGAATAGTCTGAGAATTCAGTGCAAAACAGAGCACTCCTGTTTTCCAGACGCCAGATAGAGAGAGAGGTTGGAGTCTCCCAGCACAGTCGATGTGCTTGCTACCATAAGGTGTTGTTACTGTATTCCATTTCCAGAATCCTTTATTAGCAACTTTATGGGTCAGATATCCACGGAGCACCATCTATGTGCCAGACGCTGGGCTAAGCACCAGGAGTGTAGCTGGGGACACCCTAAACCTGGCTTCTGTCCTCATGAGCCTGTCCCAGTACCATGGAGTCCACAGGATTACTGGCCCAGACGCTCAGAGCGGCTTATGGAAATGCTCTATGCTTTGGTTCCACAGGTATGACTCTCCAGGGTCACAACCAGGCTCAGACACTAAAACTTGAGTGGCAGGGTCTTGAGAGCTTTGACTCTCACCCACACCCCGAGGTTGAAAGGAATCCGCCTCCGTGCCCAGACACTAAGCCTCCATTATCAACCCTGAGTCATCAGCGGAGAAGAATCCTGCCCTTCAGCCGAGTTGGGTTTTTTTTTTAGTAGCAGTTGGTGCCTTGCCTGCCAGTGGGTTTTGGCAGGTTACTCTGACAGTTTTGCCTAACCCCCATTTCGGCAGTTCAGGTGAGAGTGTCGATCCCTTTTCCCAGATGCTCTGACCTCCTTGGGCCCATTATACGCTTCTTCCCCAGAATGTTGCACTGATCAGTGGAAGAAACTGCTGCTAAGCCATAAAGGGAGGGAGGAGATCTTACTGTGTGACCTTTGCCTTCACTCACTGATCTTATATCCATGCGGCAAATGGAAGCCACTCAGGAAACCCTTCACAGAACAAGTAAGACCAGCGAGTTACCATTGCAAAGTGACTTCCTGTTTCTGCCTAGAAAAAAAGGGGCTGAGATCATTGAAACCATAGTAGCACTGCATGCTCCAGAGAATTCTTATTTACAGACTGTATTTGCTAATAAACCTTGAGTTTTTTGGGTTTTTTTTTAACTGAGATATAATCGACATATAACATTGCATCAGTTTCATGTGTACAACATAATAATTTGATAGATGTATATACTGCAAAACGATCACAATACATTTAGTTAATATCCACCACAGGTGTTACAATTATTTTCCTTGTGACGAGAACCTTTAAGATCTACATTCTTGGGGCGCCTGGGTGGCTCAGTCGTTAAGCGTCTGCCTTCAGCTCAGGTCATGATCCCAGGGTCCTGGGGTGGGGCTCCCTGCTCAGCGGGAAGCCTGCTTCTCCCTCTCCCACTCCCCCTGCTTGTGTCCCCTCTCTGGCTGTCTCTCTCTGTGTCAAATAAATAAATAAAATCTTTTTTTAAAAAAAATCTACATTCTTAGCAACTTTCAAGTGTACAATACAGTATTAACTATAGTCACCATGCTATACATTATATCACCATGACTTATTTATTTTATAACTGGAATTTCATACCTTTTGGCTCCCTTCACCCATTTCACTCATCTCTCACCCCCTGCCTCTGGCAACCATCAGTCTGTTCTCTGAATCTACAAGTCCAGGGATTTTTAGATTCCACATACAAGTAAGATCATATGTGATCTTTTGTTAATTAGAGCCATCGGTGGGGGGGGGGGGGGGAGAAAGAAAGGACAGTGATGCCTTGGGTGGGGGAGGAGGGGAGAAAGAGAGGACAGTAATTTTCCACAAAAGCAAAATGTCTGTGTGTGTATATGTGTGTGACGTAAGGTGTTATATATAAATACAAAGTATTTTGTATATTTATGCCATTGCATGTTTTATTTATGAAATGTTGATTGCCTGTCTGCTAATCCATGAAGTCTAGAAATGGGCATTTCTGATGTCTCCCATACAGATCGTCAAATCACTAACCCAAACTGACAATGAAGTGAATTAAAGTTAAGCAAAAAGCTAAGCCAGCCAGCTTGCTACTCGCCACTGTTTGTGATACTGATTCCTTTGCATTGAATCCTGTTCCTTCATCAATATACTTGGGAGATACATCCATATTGTTGCATGAATTATTGATTGTCCTTTCTCGTTGATGAATAGTATTTCATTTTATGAATGTAACATTCTAAACCTATCCATCCTACTGTTGATGGGCACCTAGGTATTTTCCCATTTTCTGGCTGCTGTAAACGTTCTTTTCTTTCCCTTTTTTTTTTTTTAAGATTTTATTTATTTATTTTTGCAAAAGAGACAGAGAGAGAGCATGCACGAGTGGGGGTAGGGGGACAAAGGAAGAAGCAGACTCCCCGCTGAGCAGGGAACCCAAAGCGGGACTCGATCCTGGGACTCCAGGATCAAGACCTGAGCTGAAGGCAGTCGCTTAACCAACTGAGCCACCCGGATGCCCTGTGAACATTCTTTTACATGTATTTTGGTGAATATATTCACTAAACTAGATATTACTTAAGTGTAGGATTTGGGGACATAGCATAGGTATATAATTTTAGTAGATACTTCTAGACAGTTTTCCAAAGTGATTTTATTAATTTATACCCCCTTCAGCACACAGATTTCTAGTTGCTCCACATCCTTGTCAACACTTGGTATTTTCATTTTTTTAATTAAACCCATTCTGGCTCTCTCTCTCTCTGCTGCAGGAGGACACAGTGAGAAGGTGGCCATCTGCAAGCCAGGAAGAGAGAACTCTCACCAGAATCCCAACCATGGCAGTGCCCTGATCTGAGGCCTCCAGCTTCCCGAACCAGGGCCAGGTGGCACAGCCTAGAAGGACAGGAGAATTGACACTCTGCACAGGTGAACTTTGACCAATGAGAGATGGAAGCCAGAAGACAAATTCTTCTCCCTGCCTCCTCTGGATTGGTTGGAGGCCAGTCACCTCATACAGCTCTCTGAGGACATCTCCCAAGATAGCAGCAGCCAACTCATGATGCCCTCCCTTAGTATTTGTTTCCCTCTTTGCTTCTCTCACTCCCTTTTCCCCTTACTCCTGCTCTCCTGAGATTGAATTCCTAATAAAATGTTAGCACTTGAAAAAAACAAAACAAAACAAAACAAAACAAAAAAACCTATTCTGGTAGGTCCAGGGCAACTCTGAAAGTAGAGAATCAAACAGGGACTCATCTGTTTCCTTCACCCTTTATAATTCCCAAGGCCTCCATGATCCCATTTTCTTCTCAAACCTATATTTTCTTGCAGATTGTACAATTTGTCTGCACTGTGATCTGGGTTTAGCCAAATCAGTCCATCAGAAACTATTTCTTCTGCCCTTCCTCCTCTACAAAGAATGTTCTTTAACTTACTGATATAGATCGTTATGCCCTGGGAGAAAGATGAACAAAAATGGAGATAAAGTCCGTTTTATGGATAGGCTGATGTCAGAGCTATAAGGAAGAGTTAAAGAACATAAAAATTCTGAGATTAAGAAAACTTGAGGGACACCTGGGTGGCTCAGTCAGTTAAGCATCCAACTCCTGGTTTTGGCTCAAGTCGTGATCTCAGGATCGTGGATCGAGCCCCGCATCAGGGTCTGCACTCAGCTGGGAGTCTGCTTGAGATTCTCTCCCTTTCCCTCTCCTGCTTGCTCACATGTGCTGTCTCTCTCAAATAAATAAATAAATCTAAGAAAGAAAAAGAAAGAAAGAAAGACAGAAAAAACTTGAGAACACTGGAGCCCAGTCCCACTGGGTTTATTTAATGTACTCTCTCAGGCCAGGTCTTGGTGGAATTTAACCCTTAGTACCCTTCTCACTCTTCAGTGGAGGGTGGTTATAGGAGGGCATGACTCTTCTGTGGTGTCTTGTTTTCATTGTAATTGGCCGAATGAGAGGTCACCTGCCTATATAAATTTTATCAGTAAATATTTACTGAGTGCCTACTAAGTGCTAAATCCTGGATGAAGGAAGGAGATATTTACTCGCTCAGTGGTTTATGCAGAGGTAGAGTGGCAACAAGATGGAAAAGCTACAATATACCAATTAATCGAATTATCTGCCAATGATTTGTGAGAAAGAGTATAATCACAGCATTTAGGATAGGTTGTGGTGAACTTGGAGTTCTCTTAAGTTACCAGAGGGAAACCATGTGATTTTAAAAATTCTATAATCGGGGCACCTGGCTCTCTTAGTCTGTAGAGCACACAACTCGATCTCAGGGTTGTAAGTTTGAGCCCCATGTTGGGTGTAGAGATTACTTAAAATAAAATCTTTTAAAAAAGTGCTATGGTTGGGCGCCTGGGTGGCTCAGTTGGTTAAGCGACTGCCTTCGGCTCAGGTCATGATCCTGGAGTCCCAGGATCGAGTCCCGCATCGGGCTCCCTGCTCAGCAGGGAGTCTGCTTCTCCTGCTGACCCTCCCCCTCTCATGCTCTCTCTATCTCATTCTCTCTCAAATAAATGAATAAAATCTTTAAAAAAAAAAAAAGTGCTATGGTTGTCAAAAGAGCATCCAGTTGATTATATAAAGTGTGAAACATGCCGTAGTACTATTTGTTCTGTGATATATAAAAATCCAGATCTCACAAGGAGGTGTACTAATACCAGTCTCAGGTCATCTTTACCCACCTTCCCACATGTGCTAGTCAAGCTTCCTGATATGATGAGTGGAAGCATTCTAAATTGTCTTCTAGCCAACCCAATTTGGACTGGAATATTTAGTGGATGTTTGATGGTGCTACATAGAGTCCATGTTTCTACAAAATGGAAGATCCTTTTCAACTTAGATTAGATTGAAAGCTACAGTAGTCTTCCCATCAAAAGGGGTAAATAAAAAACTTACCCACCACCTCAGGGTGACCAGAACACAGAGGCAGGCTTTTATCTCAGAAAGAGAAAGCTGGGAGCTATGCTGATAGGCCATTGCCAAATTTTAGGTATTTGGAGACAGACGTAGTGCAGACATTTTGCATTATTGAAGGGCATAGCTCTCTCCAGCAAAAGAATTGATAGGAATCCTATTATTTGAAAAACTTAGAATTTTGAACAGTTTCTAATACACAAATGCAGAATTCTCTGCAATTAGGAGGAGGAACCCTGGTATCTCCAGTGAGTGACTGACAAAAACAAGATGAGCAGATATAAATAATCTGGAAGCCTGGCCATACCTGGGAAAGAAGTAAAATATCCATACCAGACGAATAATATAGAAAATAGTTGTAGTTTATCAGACTCCGGTTGCCTGAATAGTGAATTATATACATAGTTCATTATTAGAGAAGGGTATTACACTCTAACACACTACTTGGCCCAGCAGAGAACAAAACTTACATAGTCAGGGTGGTTCAAATGCTGTTTATTGATTGTGTTAATTTTCTAATGCTGCATAACAAAGTACCACATATTACCTACCTAAAATAACACCTACTTATTAGCTTACAGTCTGTAAGTCAGAAGTCCAGACATGGCATGACTAGGTTCTCTGCTTAGGGTCTCACAATGCTGAAATCAAGATATTAGCTGGGCTGCATTCCCTCTGGAGGCTCCATGAAACTCTGCTTCAAGCTCATTTTTGTTCCTGGCTAAATTCAGTTCCTTGTGGGTATAGGACTGAGGTCCTTGTTTCCTTGGTAACTGCCAGTTGGAGGCTGCTCTCACCTGACTTGTACTGGGGAGCAAGAATTCCTGTCCCCTCAAAGGTCCTTCTAGCTGTGCTAAGAATCTAATTGACATGAGACAGATTAGCAGGAGAAGATCAAATTTAATAAGTGTACATAAGGGGAATCCACATAGACATGGAAATTCCAAAGACAGGCAAAATGAGGTATATATGTCATTCTGAACCAAGGAGAAGGGGTTAAGTGTCTGGGATTTCAGAAGAAAGGAATACATTTCACAGGGTGATAAGAAGAGCAAGATTTGGGAATTAAGATATTTGCCCTACCATACAGATGGGTCACACAGATAAAATTTATCTCTGTTAATAACACTTATTCTGGGAATTGCAGAGGTAGAGATTCTTCTATATAGTTTAGATTCTTCTATAGAGTTAAGGGGGGTGGGGCTGGGAGGGGCTGTCCTGAACCCCTTCACTTGCCCCCCTTCATCTTCAAAGTTAGCAATGGCAAGTTGAATCCTTATGTTTTGAATTTCTCTTGACTACGCCATCTCTTGACTTCTAGACCCAGACTTAGAGAACTCCTGTGATTAAGTCACACCCATGCAGATAATCTCCCTATCTTAAGGTCAACAGATTTGTGACCTTAATTACATCTGAAAATTACCTTCCCTGCAACACCTAGATTAGTGTTTGGGAGAAGGCACATGTATACCAGGGCAGGAAATTGGTGTGGTGCATGTGTGGAGGGGGTCAGCTTTAGAATTTTTCCAACTACATTGGTTTTCAATTTTTGAATCTACCTTAGATTCTAGACCGGTGATTCTCAACTGGGGTAGGTAGTGATTTTGCTCTCCTCTCATAGGGAGCATTTGGTAACATCTGGAGAACAGCTAATCCACCTATAATGGATAAGAGAGTCCCCAAAATAAATATCCAACCCAAGATGTCAGTAGCGTCAGGGTTGAGAAACCCCACCTTAAAGAAAGCGTGAAGGAACATTCTCCTCCTCCTCCTCCTCCCCCTCCCCCTCCCCTCCCTACACCTCCTCCTCTCCCTTTACAGAATTATCATTATCACCCTCAGCCACGTAAATGTAAAAGTACTGCAGATGTGACACAGATGGAAGATAAAAAAAGAGAAGGAAAAGGATCTGGAGTATTATCTACATCTTACATACAGAGGAAACTTAAATTCTAGAATCCATAGGTTAATGGATGGTATATGGTGGGTATATTATTCAGTTACAAATTAAAGAAAAAGAATAATAATAAAACTCAAGATGCGGAGGGAGAAGGGAAGGGAAGTTGGGAGTAGTAAGAAGACAGTAGACATTGCCTAAAATTGATAAACAAAAAATACTTTCAGCATTTCATTTAAAATGATGGAAGTACCCACTGATGGGTTACCCCCAAATATGGCATGTTGACATATTGAATATTTTAAGCTGAAGGACTTCAAGAAAACGGGACAACCAAGAAGGTCACTCTGACCTTCTCCCCATCTTTCTCCTTGAAACAGGTCATAAAACTCTCAGATACGAGATGAAAACTTATTAAATAAATGTGTATGTTTTTCTTCTGTTAATGCCTTTGTCAGCTTAATTTTCAGACCCATTTAGGGACCCTAAGAGGATCAAGGAAAACTTCTCTTCCCTTGTAACACCAGAACTAAAACTTCTAAAGAGATTTTAAAAGGTTGTATCCAAGAAGTAGGTCTGGGAATAGGGAGGATACAGTGAGAAAATGATAAATGATAAATTCTGCTGTACTTTTGATTTTTTTTTTTACTACTCACTTGTTACTTTATAAAAATATAACCTTAAAAAAACTGAGGGGGTTAACCCAGATGATCTATTTGTATAGGAAAAGTAACAGTATTGATGACAAAATAATGTTTTAGTATGTGTGACAGCCTATAAAATAGAATTTCTTTAAGAAGCTGCTTGCCCAGGCACAAGATCCTCATACAAAGTTGCACTTACACTGCAGTAAAATCGCATTTTAAAAATAAGCATAGAAACCTACTGTCATTATGGCTGCCCCCAAATTGTGTAGAATTATGGATCTGCCCTGGAAAAAGAGACAAAATTTAAAATAATTCAAGTTCTCGGTTGAGAGTCTTAGAGACCAATTTTTAAAAATTTTTTCTTGACTATGTTTCCTATGCTGTACTTCCAACTCCATAACTTTTTTATTTTATAACTGGAAATTTTACCTCTTAATCAATGTTTTTATTTTATCTTAACTTTTCAGTAATGTTGATTATTAGGATTCATTTAGAAACTTGTGATTTGTTTTCAAGTTACTCTCCCATTACTTTATTATTATTATTATTATTTTATTTAATGCTGCTTTCTCCAGCATTTGAAACCTGTCATTTGATGACCCTGGATGATATTACTACAAGATTAAGAAGGACTATTTAGTGCTCTAGTCTGAATGTTTGTGCCTCACTAAAACCCATGTGTTGAAATCTCAACCCCCGAGGTGGATGGTATTAGTAAGTGTGGCCTTTGGGAAGTCGTGAGGCTGGAACCCTCAGGAATGGGATTCGTGTCTGATAAAAGAAGTTCCAGAGAGCCCCCCTGAGTCCTTTCCACCTTGTAAGGACACAGGGAGAAGTCAGTAAAAGTCTGCAACCCCACAAGAGGGCTTTCACCAGACACCCAATCTGCCAATGCCTCCAGAAACATGAGAAAAAAATGTTTGTTGTTTACTAGCTCCCCAGCCTCTGGCATGTTCTTCTAGCAGCCTGAACAGGTAAGACATTTAGCAACCATTTTCCTTAGGTTCGCCTGAATTATCATATTAAAAAGCATGATGGGTTTAAGTGGAAGAATGCCCTATTTTTTTTTACAAAATCTGTCTTTCCATTGAAAAGTAAAACGTGGTGAGGGAGATTTTGCAGAACAAAGGTTACAAATACTGTGCAATTTCCTCCACTGCCTAGGGGTGTGAAATTGCATAAAGTCAGATTGGGGCTCTTTTACTCTGAAGGTGCTTGTTGCCACTCTCAGCACCCACGATGCCCGGAGCTGCAGGTTTCAGTACTAGACTTCCCAGGAGAACCGTCGGCCGGCTCCCCCTAGCCCTTTGTGAAGCACCAGGTGCACAGATTTTGATCTGATTTCGTCTCCCTCTGCCCCACCTCCGCCTGCACACCTTTTAGGGCCCACTGCTGGGGCTGCTGGACTGGGGAGGGTCTGGGGATCTGGATACAAAGCTTGTCTCTGCCACTTCCTGTGGGAGCATGGGCAAGTCATCTTACCTCTATGAGCTTCAAATTTCCTCATCCATAAAGTAGAAATATCAGTACAGAGCTCGCAGGATTGTTGGTGAGAATAAACAAATCACATGCTAAATTAGTGTCGATGAGGGGAATTGGACAAAGCCCATTTGATGACATTTTAACCTACATGGGGCTCAGCACTTCCATGCGACCCATGACCTCCTCCAAGTCAGCCTGGCAATACCGCTGCTTGGAACTGGCCACAGGACACCTGACACCTGGCAAGATGGACACCGTGTTCCTGCCATCTGACGGCTGTTTGTGAAAACTATGTCTTACTCTGCATCTGGAAGCTTCTGTGGACACACAAGGAGGCCAAAAGACAAGCCATGCAACAGGATCCACCAACAAGGTGTGGGAAGATGGGCCAGGAGTTAAGAGATGTAGGCTCCTTGTTAGGAGAGTGTAAGATAATCCCACATGGCATCCAACTCTGGATCCTTCCCTAGTGCACTAAGAACTCACTGTGGGAGCCAGATGGCTCTCTGAGCAAAGCAGACTTTTTTTTTTCAGCATCAGGGTTTATCAATCCAACAACGGTAGTTACTCAAACTAGATGTGATATTAAAATGATATGCAGCTAAAACTGTTCTATGTAGAAAATGGTTTCCCCTCCAATGTTTACAAACTCTAAATAATGCAATAAGAAATACACAAATTCACACAGAAAGCATTCTTACTGAAACTGTTAAACCTGAACGTGGTCATGAGGAAACAGGCAAACCCAGAATGTGGAACAGATTCTGCCCTAGACTCTCTTTTAAAAAGTTTGAGCCATGGAAAGAAAGCAAAAAGAAAAAAAGCAGGGGGGGACTTTCTTAGAGTAAAAGTTATTAAAGAAATGTAAGAATTAATTGCAATATGTGAACCTTGATTGATTAAAAAAACTATACAAAAATTATACTCTGGAAATCGTTGGGGAAAAATTAAATTAAAATTTAATTTAATTTAAAAATTAAATATATATATTCCTAGTATATATACCTAATATATATTAGGTATGCTGTTTTTGTATGACTTTTTGTTTTAAACCTTCTCCTTGTTCTGGGGTGTGATGCTTCTTGAAGGAGGAACAGTCTGGAATTGTCTTGAAAAAGGGCCTTGTTCACAGTAGGAATTCAGTAATTAGTTATAGATATGAAGTGAAAATTGTTCAAAATAAAAATACCTAATATATATTAGGTATATATATTTAGGTATAAAGCTGATAGTGTGATTATATACAAAAGGTCTTTATTCTTGGGGATGTCAAGTTGTAACACTAAAAAAAAGTTAAAGTATCACGACATTTGCAACTTACTATCAAACGGTTTCGCAAAAAAAAATATGTATTTATATATAAAATGTTTTATACACACGTGCATGCAAAGAGAGAAAAGAGAGAGAAAACAAATGTGGCAAAATATTAACAATTATTAATCTACGTGAAAGGTATACAAGTGTTCATTGTGCCAATCTTTCAACTTCTCTGTAGGTTTGCAAACCTTCATAATAAAAGTTGGGAGAAATTAGATCTGTATGCTGCTCTTAAAATAGGATATAAAGAGAAGTACGATCTTTTCATTTCATTTTCAGATGAGTATATTATTGGCTACATTTGTATCCTGTATAATTTTTCCTTTAAGACGTATAGTTTGTTTTGCCCTGTTGACTCCCAATAAGGAACATTCACGAGATAAATTTATAAGCAACCATGGCCAAGTCCAGTTGAGGAACTGTCTGTGTAGGTTCGTTTGCAAACACTTTAATAAGAACTTTCATGGCTGTGGATTTCTGGTTTCCCCTGATGTGCCCCTTTACTTTTCCTCTGACCGGCATGTTTCTTCTTATGGCAGAAGTTGCCCTTAGCGTCTTTCTTGGCTGTTTGTTCTTTCATCCACTGCTTAATAACATGACTGTGCGGGCTGACACAGATTCTTCTGCGCCTGACGTGAAGGCTGCCAAGGAGGGAAGATAAACAAAGTCACTGATGGAAAGTCGAAGTAAAAACTTAGTGACTCAGAGGCAGTTCCCACTTTGAGATACAAGACTGGGTCCTAAAGCCGTGGAGCCCATGGCTGAATCCTCACTATCCTGTGGCCCGCGGTTCCTCAGATGGCAGCGTTAAAAGGAGGAGGAAGAGGGGCACCTGGGTGGCTCAGTTGGTTAAGCGTCTACCCATGGTCCTGGGATCGAGCCCCGCATCAGCCTCCTTGCTCAGCAGGGAGCCTCCTTCTCCCTCTCGCTCTGCCTACTTGTCCTTTCCCTCTCTTTTTCTGTCAAATAAATAAATTAAATTAAAAAAAAAAAAAAGGAGGAGGAGGAGGAGGGCAGGAATGAGGGGAAGGAGGGAAACCAAGGGAAAACAATGGTCTTCCTGACCCAGAGCTTCACCCAACAAAATCAACTCACACCTCACGGCCCACCTCAAACATCTCTGTGCAGTTTTTCTAGATTCTCTCAGCTAAATGCCCTGTTTTCCCTTTGGGTCTCTCAGTATTATCTCTCCTCTAGGACTTAGCTTATGCTGTTTTTGTATGACTTTTTGTTTTAAACCTTCTCCTTGTTCTGGGGTGTGATGCTTCTTGAAGGAGGAACAGTCTGGAATTGTCTTGAAAAAGGGCCTTGTTCACAGTAGGAATTCAGTAATTAGTTATAGATATGAAGTGAAAATTGTTCAAAATAAAAACACTCTGGTTTTGTTTTAAACGAAACAATCAACTAAAATGTTCTAGGTGTTTGATAAGATTTTAATATATTATAGATTCACACCCCTTCTCAAGTGTTTTCATGTTTTAAATTTTTACCTTGGGGTGAGACAACCACAAAGTAGCATTCACAATTTCTAGGAACTGGAAGAATTTCTTGTTACAAAAGATATTGTGACTTTTAATTTGCCCCCAGGTGCCATCCAGCTCTTACTAAATGTCACAGATCCTGCTGGCTCTACATAGACAACATTCTGTGTCTGGATACAAGGAACCCCTGCCCCTGTTACTGCATGGGGGGGATCCCCGAGGGATAGAGGGTAGGTTGCCATTTCTCCAGATGACCCGAGAGGACTCATCCGCTAATATGGGGACTCTTGAAATGAGGGGAAAAGCTGCGAAAGGCCTCAATGAGCTTAAGCAAAATAAAGCCAGCCTGTGGGAATATTAATTTGAAAGAAGTGAGGCTTCTTGATAGGAGGACAATACATTCGCTAAGTGTCTCACACTGAGAGGTCTTCCACAGGAAAGGTCCCGCTCCTGCGGCCAGTTGGGTTTGCCTTTGGCTGCTAGAGGAGAGAACCCGGCGGGAGTGCTCAGTGGGGAAGAAAAAAAAGAGTTGAAACTCCTATCCTTCCCAAAGGACTAAAACGCTTCCTTTCCCTGTGGTGCCAGCAAGAACCTGAGCAGACATCCAGTGGAGAAAGACTCCACTGACCTCCAGTTAAGCCCACAGGGTTCACAGGAGGGAACTAGCGCTTGACTCCCTCAGTCCGTGAGGAATGAGGAGCTTCAGGGAGGGGCACGGGCCCTGAAGCTGAAGGTGAGCCCTGGATGGGGGCAGCACGGACAGAGGGCCACGGGGGCGGGGGGGGGGGGGAGAGCCATAAGAAAACGGGCAACAGGTACCGTGCAGCACCCTTTGCAAAGGCCTGCCCCGTGGGGCCTCAAGCTCTCAAGGTAATACAAGGGGGAAAAGCAGCTAGCAGAACACAGCTCCCAAATCCAAGATGCTAGGATGTTTTCAAATCTTAAAGTTTAAAGCCTGCTTAAACTTGTACTTGTATCCCCCGTGTACTCCATCATCAGGATAAAAAGAGATGAGGTAATGTTGGACCAGGAGGTGGCCTATCCCACACTACCCCCCCACCCCCCCACCCCCCCACCCCACCCCCGCCCCCGACTCCACAGTATTCTGCTGGGCGCTGACCCAGCCTGTTGTGTGTCTCTTGGTGGAGAGTTTGGGCTCTGAGAAACCATAAGGCTGATCCCCTGATTCTTTTGCCCAAAAGAGAGTAGCTAGAGACGGTCCCAGGGACCTACGGGGGTGGCCCTACCACAGAGATCAAACCTGTCCCCTGAACCTGATTTCTTTACCCCTTCCCCTAAGCAGAGCAGCCCCTCAACAATCACTTTTCAAAAAATGTGCAAGCTTCCCAGATAACTTTATTTAAGAACTCCAAGTTTTCTTCCCAACAGATATTTGTGTTTCAAAAACCTCAGCCCTCTGCCCAAGATAAACAACTCTGCACTGTGTTTATGTTAAGAAATAACCAGAAGCTCTTTAATGAAGTCGCTGTAGAAGGGTTTAAACAAGCAAACTCCCCTCTCAGAGAACAAAAATTACAATGATCATCTATAGGGTGTGAAACAAAGGACCTATTCTAGGCAGAAAAGGAAAAGGAAAGAAATCTAGTGAGCTCACTATAAGCTCATTTATATCTGTTAGTTGTGGTTAATAATACATGCTTCGGGGGAGTCATATTTCCAACACTTGCAATGTTTTCTGTATCTAAAAATCTGTACTTGAATAAATCATTTTTAGATCCAAGTGATTGACTTCATGGTTTCCCTTTAATTAAAATTAAGTGCTTTTTAAAATGAAAAGTCATGTTTTTTTAAATATTTTCCTTATCAAAATGAGAACTTATATCATTTCTCTTCCTATACCTTTTTCCCTGAAAATCCTGTTACCAATGGCATCCTCTGCTAATTCCCAGGATCTGTTCTTACTCTTACATACAGAGAGAAACTTCCTCTCCTTCTTTCCCCATGCCTTCCTGGGAGTCCCATGGGATCCCTTACAAGTTCAAAGCCTCCTACAGTCTGAGGTGACGTGTGCCAGGGAGACGTGTGCCAGAAGAGACAGCTGAGCATTTGGTGTTTCTGAGAGTAGCCAGGAAGATAGGTAGGTAGACCTGACACAAACATCGAGATGTTTCCAATTCTCCGGAGTACTGTCTATCCATGAACTGCCTACGGATTTTCACTCTCCAGCTATTACCAACACTAATTTATTAAGATTAAATAAAAGACTGTTAGAATCTTGGCCATGTAGTAAGAGAGTTTTTCAAAGAAATTGGGAACTTGAAGCGACCCTCAGAAAGTACCTCATTAGTAAGTGCTCCCTGGATTGCTATAGGAACCACTGGTTTCCAGTGTAAACCACCTAAGCCAGTGGATCCAGTGTGGTAACAGGAACTGAGGAGAAGCAGAGTCCTCAATCCTTACCCTCCTGCCACATAGACACTCATGCTCATTAAAAGTTTGAGCCAGAATTATCTTCCTCTGTACATCTAACCCCAAGTGTGATTTTTTTTTTTTTTTTTAAGAAAAAGAGCGCGGGTGGGGGTTGGGGGAGCAGAGAGAGAGGGAGAGAGAATCTCAAGTAAGCTCCATGTTGATGTGGGGCTTGATCTCACGACCCTGAGATCATAACCTGAGCCAAAATCCAGAGTTGGACATTTAACTGACTGAGTCACCCAGGTGCTCCCCTCCCAATTGTGATTTTTAAACTATATCATATCTACGATCTTTTTGTGGATCTTATAAAATCTGTGAACCTTCTCCTCAGAAAACAATGCTCATACATTCAGACCCACTAATTTCAGGGAGTTCACTGCCCCCTAACCTGAAGGAAATCTATCAGTGGACATCTTACAAACTCTTCCTCTGAACTTCTAAGAATTTTATCTTGGATCAGTGTTTCTCAAAGTTGGGTAATAGGTGGATCCCTCCGAAAGGGGGAAAGATGGACCTTAAATCTCAGAGAATGGTCTGCAGGACTCAGCTGAATAGAGTCACTGGAGACTCTAGGAGGGCAGAGTCCATTTGGTTGCTGCTGCATCCCCAGCACAAGATGAGATAGAATGGTGCTTGGTACAGAAACGTTAATCAATAACTACTAGTTGAATTCATTGAATAAATAAAGAGGCTTCTCAGTGACTCAGGAACGCAAGCATAAGCAGTAGGTTTATTTGTAGCCCCAAGAAGGGAATACCAAATGGCTCACTAGCATCCCCTGTAGCCATAAGTGGTGTTAAAACCAGCACACCAGAGAGATGCCTAATACACTGTCCTTATGATTTGAAGGTGCCAGATAAAATGAAGTTTGGGGAGAGCATTTTATGGTGGGTCCCACCATCACTTTTGAGAGATCTTTGAAGTATATGGTGTTCTGAACGACAAGACCTGGTTCTTAGCCCATCTCTGCAATTCTCTAGCTGTATGTCACCAAGTTAACTGTATACTCCTCAGGCACAGCTTTATCTTGCGTGACATGGAGATAATTTATGCCTTTCTCACAGTATTGTTGTCAGAATCCAGATTTGCTACATTCCAATGCATTTCAGATTTTAAAGTTTCTATGGGGATATGAAGAACACAGAAATCTAAAGGTTTTTTTTTTTTTTTAAGATTTTATTTATTTATTTGAGAGAAAGTGTGAGCTGGGGAAGGGGCAGAGGGAGAAGCAGACTCCCCGTTGAGCGGGGGGCCCGACGCTGGGCTCGATCCCAGGACCCCAGGATCATGACCTGAGCTGAAGGCAGACACTCAACAACTGAGCCACCCAGCCGTTCCAGAAATCTAAAGTGTTTAATAACTGAGCCAGAGGTAAGCTTGAAAAGGGTTCACCATGAGCCAACAGCCCAGAATCAAGAGCAAAGATGGGCATTTGTGCTTGATTGCATGTGACAGGTACAGACATCTCTCTACTTCTCCTTGAACCTTGTATACACTCTTGATGCATTCAGAGAGTAAAAAATGACAGCAACCCATTAACTTGCCTGGAAAAAGCTACAGGTAAAGCCAGAAAATAGAACAGAGACACCTTCTGTTTTCATTTTTGTTTTGTTTTCTCACTCAGAAGGTCCCTGGTGTTGCTTGGGAAAGTCATACACACTGTCCAGTGACTGAAGGTGTTTATCCTGAATCCCACACTGCAGTGGGGGCAGCGGAGGCAAACGTGGGGTTATGGACATGCCCCTTCTGAGACACCGTGTGCTCACTCTGGGGAGCCTGGGGCCAGAAAGAAGGTGGAATATTTACTCTCCCCTCCCTTGTTTGAATGATTCCTTGTATGCTGCACAGCAGGCAATGCCTGTGCAGCCTACTGCGCACGGGCTGAGAAAGGATCCCCGGACAGGTTTAGACCCTCCCTGCGGAAGAGTGCTCACATGACAGCAGCCAAGTCACAGTCCCCGTCGGCTCTCTGGATGCGGCACAGATTCACTCTCTCCAGAAGCCTTCGGGAGACATGATGAGAAACCTCAGTGCAACAGCTGGAGGCAATGGGAAGTATGGCTGAAAGAAGAAAGAAAGAAAATGTTACATCTTGCAGGGTACCTGGGTGGCTCAGTTGGTTAAGTGACTGCCTTCGGCTCAGGTCATGATCCCAGAGTCCCGGGATTGAGTCCCACGTCAGGCTCCCTGCTCAGTAGGGAGTCTGCTTCTCCCTCTGACCCTACCCCCTCTTGGGCTCTCTCTCACTCTCTCTCTCTCAAATAAATAAATAAAATCTTTAAAAAAAAAAAACCAATAATCCAAATAAAAAATGGGCAGAAGACAGTAACAGACATTTCTCCAAAGAAGACACACAGATGGCCAACAGACACATGAGGAGATGCTCAAAAGCACTGATCATCAGGGAAATGCAAATCAAAACCACAATGAGATATCACCTCACACCTGTCAGAATGGCTAAAATCAACACCACAAGAAACAACAAGTGTCGCTGAGGATGTGGAGAAAAAGGAATCTTCGTGCACTGTTGGTGGGAATGCAAACTGGTGCAGCCACTCTGGAAAACAGTATGGAGGTTCCTCAAAAAGTAAAAAATACAACTACCTTACAATCCAGTAATCACACTACTGGGCATTTACCCAAAAAATACAAAAACACTAATTCAAAGAGATACATGTAACCCTGTGTTTATAGCAGCATTATTTACAATAGCCAAATTATGGAAGCAGCCCAAGTATCCATCAATAGATGAATGGATAAAGAAGATGGAGAGAGAGAGAGAGAGAGAGAGAGAGAGAGAGAGAGTGTGTGTGTGTGTGTGTGTGTGTGTGTGTTGGAACATTATTCAGCCATCAAAAAGAATGAAATATTGCCATTTGCAACAACATGGATAGAGCCGGAGAGTATAATGCTAAGTGAAATAAGTCGGTCAGAGAAAGAGAAATACCACATGATTTCACTCATATGTGGAATTTAAGAAACAAAACAAAGAAGCAAAGGTAAAAAAAAGGAAGGAAGGAGAAAGGAAGGAAGGAAGAGAGAGAGAGGCAAGCCAAGAAACAGACTCTTGACTATAGAGAACAAACTGATGGTTACCAGAGGGGAGATGGGTGTGGGGCTGGGTAAAATAGGTGATGGGGATGAAGGAGGGCACTTGCGATGAGCACCAGGTGATGCATGGAAGTGTTGAATCACTATATTGTACACCTGAAACTAATATAACATTGTCTGTTAATTATACTGGCATTTAAAAAACAAAAACAACAAACAAATAATGGCCTGGCTCTCTTCTTTTTTTATTTTATTTTATTTAAATTCAATTAATTAACATATAGTATATTATTAGTTTCAGAGGTAGAGTTCAGTGATTCATCAGTTGCATATAACACCCAGTGCTCATTACATCATGCCTGGCTCTCTTTTTAGATTCCAGAGAAACAGAATGCCAATCCACCCAAGCAAGGGGCAGAAACTTACTAAGGGCTTTGTGATTGCAGACGTGGGACAAGACATGTCTCTCCCTTCCAGAACTTACATTGTATTTGGGGAAGATAAAACATTAAGTACAGACAAAGACACAAAACCAGTGAAGAGATGAAAGAAGTGAGGTGGACAGAGTGTCCCACAGAGTTTAGAAGAGAAGGACCACATGGGCCCCTGGAGCAGGTTTACGTTTCCTACCAGGGAAGGACTCGGATGAATCTTTAAGGATTTGGACGGGTGGAGAAAAACGAAGACAACTTGTCAATACTAAAGGAAGTGCATGGTCAAGAATTCTGAGACAGAAAAGCCCAAGATGCATTGAGGGTCTGGAGAAAAATCAACCACTTCATCTGAACTGGGTAGTTAGGAAGGTGAGCGATGGGAGATTTGGTTCAAAAGATGGACTGAGATCACGCTACTGAGGCCCTGAATGTGAATCTAAGGAGGGTTAGTTTTTATGAAATGGGGACCATTAGAGATTTGGGAAAGGAGAAGGATTTTAGGAAAATCCATCTTGCAATGATAAGCAAGATGCATTAAGGTGGGGAGTGACTAGAGAAGGAGGTCAAGCTAGGAGGAGCTTATGTTCCCCTGATGTAAGGAGGGCAACACAAATATGAAAGGAAATCCAATCCCCTACTAAAACGTGTATCTGCAGATCCCTACGGGCCTCATGCACACAGTAGTCTCCTACGCTTCCCATTCCACCAAGCAGGTAGTAAATTTTTAAAAGTATTTTTCAGAAATTACAGCCAATAGTGGCTGCAGATGTCAGCCTCATAACAGAAGTTAGCCACTGAATTAGGTGCTAAAAGAAATGTTTAGATCCCTCCACAGTGTCAGCTCTAAGCAACAGAGGTATCTGCCCTTAGGATAGGGGAAGATCTCTATATCCATGCTTTGTCCACATGGAAACATCAGGTCACTCACAACAATGGAGTAGAGAAGGAGCTGATTATGAAATTAAGAATGTTTATGTGAGGGGTGCCTGGGTGGCTCAGTTGTTAGGCATCTGCCTTCACCTCAGGTCATGATCCCAAAGTCCTAGGATCGAGCCCCGCATCGGGCTCCCTGCTCTGCAGGAAGCCTGCTTCTCCCTCTCCCACTACCCCTGCTTGTGTTCCCTCTCTCGCTGTGTCTCTCTCTGTCAAGTAAATAAATAAAATCTTAAAAAAAAATGTTTATGTGACTTAAAAAAATGTTTATGTGTCCCACTCTTTGAGCATCAAAACTTTCATTATTACTCATTTATTCACTTAATTCAATTATTCAACAACATTTATTGAGCAGTTAAAATGTTCCAGGCACAATACCAGTAAGTAGGAGGTACAAGAATAAATAAAATAGTATGTCCCTGTCCTCAAGGGGCTATAGTAGAGGAGGCACATTTGGAACTAAATGCTTAGGATACAATCCTTTTGGCCCACTACAATTGTACTTCTGGAATTCTGTCCTTCCAAAAGACTCCCACAAGACTTAAAGACAGGTGCACAGCTGTTCACTATAGCAAAACATTAGAGCCCACCTAAATGTCTACCAAGAGTTAAATAAGTAATAGTACATCCAAATGGAATAAAGGATGAGGTATACATGGATATATACACTAAGATAAATGAATGCCCATAATTTATTGTTAAGTGAGAGAAGCAAGTTTCAGTCCAAGAACTGTAAATGATCCCATTTTTATAAAAGAATGTGATACATACACAAAGGAAAAATTATGGAAATATATATGCCCAAATTTATAAGCAAAAACTACTTCTAGAGAGGGGGCCAGTTTTCAACAGGCATGCAATATTTCTATTTTTTTAAACCTCCACTGTTATGGAAATCTGAACCAAGTCCTACTATAGAAACACAGAAAATTAGAAAAATTAACTCTAAGTAGGGAAGACAAGGTTGGCATCCCACATGCCCCTCAATAACTTTTAAGCCACTAATTTGAATTCATATAGTTGAAATATATCCACATAAATGATACAGAGCATTAATGGTCCTGCTTAGCCTCACTTGTTTTAATTTACCTGTCAAGCAAGTCTGCAGCAGCCCAAATGAGGAAAATGTTTACCTTTCCCAGTGCAAGCCATGTCATGCCACAAGGACCTGCCTCTTTCCTCTCAATCTAGACCAAGTAAGGGGCTTTTCATTTTGTTATGCATATAATATATGCATATTGCATTGTTATGCAATGTTATGCATATGTCCAGAGAGGAATACCCAAGCACCAAACAACCAGATTCACCAGAATGGGAAAAGCAAACATTTACTGAGTGTCTGCTCTGTGCCAGGTCCTGAACTCTGCATTAGAAATGTTGAAATAAACAAGGCATAGTTTCTGTCCTTGTGATATTTAATAGTCCGGTGGGAGGCAGGGAGGTCAACAAATAGTCACAACACAGCAAAACAAATGTTAACAGATTGATGGTCAAAGTGGAATGAGGTTACAAGTGAAAGAAGCCAGATTCAAAAGGCCGCATAGTATACAATTCCATTTATAGGAAATGTCCAGGAGAGGCAAATACACAGAGACAGAAAGCAGATTAGTTGTAGCCAGGGGTTGGGGGCAGGCGGGAATGGGGAGTGACTGCTAGCAGGTGCATGGTCTCTTCTGGGGTTAATGAAACGTGTTGGAATTGGATAGTAGTGATGGTTGTACAAATCTGTGAATATACTAAAAACCACTGAATTGTACACTTTAAAATGTTGAATTTTATGGTATGTGAATTATATTTCCATTTTTTAAGTGCTATAGGAGAACAGAACATTGGTTGTCCTTACATTTATTAATGAATTTATTTCTTAAAACTAATTGCTTATTTAGCTACGCTGTGCTTCCTATTCTCCAAGTCAAGTTTGATATCCCAAAGTTTTGGGTTTATTCACGTAGCCATCCATTCATTCATCATCTCACTATGTAAGAATTACAGGTGAATTCTTATAGAGTGATCTCTCTCTCTATATATATATACTTATAAGTTCTTATATAGTGAATCACTATGCTAGCCCTGGGAGTAGAATGATGAAGAGTTACTAGCTTCAGAGAGCTAATACTCAGAACCCTGCTATTAGTTTTGACCCGAGCAGCTATAAAATATGAAATGGACTTTCAGAAGCATCGTGGGAATTAAGAATCATAGGCAAACCTGTGTGATTAGGAATTTGAGTTATCTGAGTGGTGACATCAATTCAAGGAATAGTTTTAAGCCAGAAAAGCACCCAGGAGCTATATGCACTTAGTAAACTAGATTATATTTCTCCTATGTTAAGGTAGGATGGACACACCTGGAGATCCTTTAATCTAAACTGGATTAACTATCAAAAGGCAAGAGGCAGGCCAGATTTATTACATGTTGGCAGAAGTGACTGGTGCCCTCCTGAGGCAGCTGGAAATATAAAAAAACCAAGAGAGATGGAATCCTTTGAAGAGTGCTCAAAAAGTCAGGCAACCAAAACTGTTACCAGGGCAGTTCAGACTGGGTCAATGTTAGGATTATTTTGGGGAACAGCGCCTCCTACAGGTTTTTTCATTCGGTCGCATTTCCATTTCAGAGTGGTCAGCAACTCCCTCTATTTCAGTG